GTCCACAATGTATAAAACAGCTGTTGAGATTTTCCTGTCTTTTATAAGGAAGGGAAAAATCTCTGGCGGGGATGAAAAGATGGGCTAGGAGAGGGTCGGAGTGAAGTGAAAATGGTTATGGCTCTGACTGTGTTTGAACAAGGTGTTAATGGATGCATTTTTGGCAGAAATAAGGAAAGCTTGTTTAGCTGCTGTGAACGCAAGATGAGAAAACTGGTAAAGTTTTGGCACAACCGACTGAAGAATGGGACCCACATATTACAAAACGCTGGGCCATCCATTTCCAGGCAGATACTTTTCTGCAAAGTGTCTGCATATCCATAAGCTCATCAGGATGAACGGATCAATCTTGTTTAGTTCCTTTCTTATCACAAGCCCCTCTTTCATGGCATTGCTTTGTCCCACCTTAGACAGAACACAATGCCTTTTCCCCAGACAGAGGTGTGAGGTGGGAACACACACCTCCTCCATCTCGCCCCCCAGTCTCCAGCCACAGGACCAACCCCGCTTACCTGCACCAGGTCGGGCGTGAGGCGCTTGGCCTGCAGCCATTTCTGAAACCTTCCTGTTTTCCTCAGGACCCGCTCGATGCTGCAGGTCTTGGGGGCTGCGGCAGAGGCGCAGATTCTCCTGTCTGAGATTTCATGCTGGTGTTTGCTGACCAGCCTGGATATCTCCACTGGGCGCCAGGTTTTGGAATCATCTGAGTAATTTGCAGGGTACGAAGGCAAGTAGCCCAGAGGCAGTTCGACGTGGGTGGCCAGCCAGCTGTCAAACCTGGAAGAAGAGCCCTTTTAGGAAGCAGGGGCCAAGCAGGGACTAGTCACAACACTGCCAGAACCAGAGGCCAGCAGAGCCCCGTGGAGGTGGCGGGGGACAGTGACACAGGGGACCACAGCTGGTCTTATCCAACCCTCAGTTTTAGACTGGGGCGCTCTGAACTCTTTCTATGTGAGGACTGCTTTTGTTTCCTCGCACTTAGGGAGGTGTATAGATGGCAGAATAGTCGAGGGAGGGTCATGCCAGACATGAACCTTATCCTCTTGGTGCAGCCAGCACAGGACTCTCTGAACTTCTACTCCATGTAAAGACGGCAGCTTTACACTGGCTTGTACCTTTGATTCTCCTAACACCTCCTCCCCCCACTCTACAGATGTGGATAGTGATGCTTACAGAGCTTAAGGACCTTGCCCAAGGTCAGACAATATGTTAGTTTCCCCAATTGTGTTTGTGTCTGGGGGATGGGGGAGGTGAGGGCGTTCAACTCTCAAAATGCCTTAAAAAAAGCCCTAATAGGGAAAGTCCACATAAACTCCATGCAATAACTAGCATCTTGCAAAAGAAGTTCAACACTTCTGGCCCAGCCAGTGTGGCTCAGTGGTTGAGCATCCACCTCTGAACCACGGTTTAGTTCCCCATCAGGAAACATGCCTTGGTTGTGGGCTCCATCCCAAGTAAAGGGTGTGCAGGAAGCAGCCAATCAGCGATTCTCTCATTATTGATGTTTCTATCCTTCTCTCCCTCTCTGAAATCAATAAAAAATATATATTTAAAGAAGTCCAACACTTCTGATGATTTTCTATTTGTTATTTTTATTTAGTAACTTAGTTGAATAATCAAATATACCTTTGGTTAATACTGATTGGAAATAAAATTATTTTAAATTAATACCTTCTGTTTAGTCACCGAATCTTATACACCTGAGACAGGTTCTTAGGGTCGGGCAGAGAAGAGACCTATACAAAGGGCCTTGGGTATTGAAAAGGCTGGGAACCACTGTCTGCAGGTTAAGGTCCCAATTCCTGGGCACAGCACTCAAGGCTCCCTGCACTATCTGACTTTTCCAATCCTCCTCCCTTTCTCACGCTTCCATGTATACCCCATGCTCCAGTCACTAAGCGCTTTTCACTTCTTCACACACCTCTGGGTCTTTGCTTAAGTTGGTCCTTCTACCGGAAGCCCTTCCCTTCCCACTAAATTTCAGCTCAACCTTCCAGGCCTTGCTCAGAATGCTTTTCCCCGGAGAAGCCATTCCCCAGTCCCCATTTGGAATTAATATCCCCTTCTTCTAGTTCCCAGAGGTCCTTTACACTTCGCTTTTGGCCTGCATCAGACCAGGCCTTATTATTGTTATTTGTAACACAGCTCCCTCCGCCAAACCCCTGGAGGGCAGTGGCCAGAGTGATAGCCATGTTGCTACAACCCTGCCGGGTCTTGGCCATGATAAAGGCTCATTGACTGCGTGTTCACAGGCTTGGCTTCCAGAGCGTGATCCCTTCTTTGATGACAGCCATGTGCATTACAATTTACTAAACTTGGCTTTTCCTCCGGTCAAGGCAACATCTCACAACAGAAAACTGGTTCAGAAACTTTGGAGCAAACCAGCCTGGCTTGAATCCCAGATCTGCCACTTATTAGGTGGTGACCTTGAACAAGACCCTTAATCTTGATATGTCTCAGTTTGCTATCCGAAGAATGAGTGAAAAACACTAACTCCCAGGATGAAGTGAGTATATAAAAGTAGCTTAAAAATGTCTGTTACGCCCCAGCCGGTTTGGCTCAGTGGATAGGGTGTCGGCCCTCAGACTGAAGTGTCCTGGGTTTGATTTCGATCAAGGGCACGTACCTTGCTTGCAGGTTCTCCGGCCCTGGTCAGGGTACGTGCAGGAGGCAACCAATTGATGTGTCTCTTTCACATCGATGTTTCTCTCTGTCTCTCCCTCCCACTTTCTCTAAAACTCAATGGAAAAATATCCTTGGGTGAAGATTAACACACACACATAAAAAGTCTGTCACATAGTAGGTTTTCTATAAATTTTATTCCTCCCCCTTTGAGAAATGAACTTGGTCAATGTCATAGTCCCAGATTACTCCCTTAATAGAAAAGAAAACTTTAAGCTCTCACTTCAAAAGGACACTTTGAATTTAGCAATTAGGGCTGGAACTTGGCTTCACACCTGACCCCCCTCTCCACCCCAACTTCAACCCGCCGCTACTCTGATTAAATGGCTTTGCTGCAGCTCCCACCCATAAATTACAACATGGCTCCTTTTCAACAAACTCCTGGACATCTTTCATCACAGGAACAGAATGTTGCCCCTCAGAACGATCTGATTGAGATTCTGACCTTATTTCTTCTTTAAAAAACTTCTTGCAAATAGATGTTCCAATGCAGGCATTGCATTTATCAAGGCCGAGGACAGTCCTTCCAAAACTGTAGCTGGTTCTAGGAGGAGGAGGAGCCGGCGAGGAGACAGCAGAGCCCAGGGCTGAGACCCAGAGCAGCTGAGCCGGCCAGCCCAGGCGGAGGGCAGCCGCCCCCGGCCCCAGCCGGGGCTCCATCCGGGCCCAGGCCTCCAGCTGCAGCCTCCAGCTGTCCACTCAGAGCCGGGCAGAGGCAGGTCTTGGCAAAAGCCAGGGGGCTGACTTCAGAGCGTTGACCCTATCCCGGCCTCCCGGATTTCTGTTGGAGGATGCTAAGGAGCTTGGAGCTAGTGAGGCTTGGGAGGAGGTGAGGAAGTCCATGGAGGATGCTGATAACCCGGTTTCCAGAGTTACTCTTCCTCTGCCTGCGGTGGCTGCCGCGGGCTGGGAGGGGCTGACTGGCAGATTTGGGGAAGGACAATGGTCAGGGCTTCCCTGTGCAGTCCTTTGGACAAACACAGGATATCCTGGCTGGGCAGGAAAGGTCCATGCAGGATGTACATCCGACCTGGGTTCCACCTGGGAGTTTCGAAAGATTCTGAGGGCCTCCACCCTCCACTGTTTTAAGTCCGAGTCTATGTGTCCCTGGGGATCACACACACACTCGCCAGTCCCCCCCCCCCCCCCTG